CGGGGTGGGGGGCACAGCCTCACCGGATTAGGGGGGGGCTGCTCCAGCTGGATTTTGATCTCGGGGCAGGGGGACTCGGGGGGGCGGCGACCTGGGGGGAAGGGGGGATTCATGAGCACCCCGGGGCCACCCCCAGCCCCGCGGGGCGCTGACGCCCCAGAGAGGGGCTACTGGGGGGGCTCTGGGGGGTGGGAGGCACTGGGGGTACCTGTGGGGGTCCCGGGGGGGTCATCCGGCCAGGGGGTGTCGGGGAAGGCGTCTCGGTGGGTCCCCGAGGGTGAGCGGCTCTCCTGAGGGGGCAGGGGGGGGTCACAGTGGTGCTGTCCCACCCCCGACACCCCCAGCACCCACCCTGCCCCCCGGGCACCCCGTACCCGGCCCGGCTCGGGCTCCTCGGTGGCGCTGCCGAAGCTGCTGGCGCTGGAGGAGGAGCGGGAGAAATCCGGCGGCTCCGGCTTCTCGGCCCTGCCAGGGACAGTCCCCGCGGCCAGGGACAGTCCCCAAGGCCACGACAGGCTGGCACCGCGCCCCGTGGCCACCGCCACGGCCTGCCTCGATGCGGTGCTGGCCTCGGGACACCTTGTCCCCGTGCCACCCCATCCTGGGACACTGCATCCCCATGCCACCCTGTCCCTGCGGTATCACATTCCCGTGCCACACTGTCCCCATGCCACCCCATCCTGGGCTACTGGCACTCACACGCTATCCTACCCCTGGGATGTCCCATCCCTGTACCACCCTGTCCCCGCACCGTCCCATCCCTGGGTTGTCCCAACCCCACGCAATCCTGCCCCCATGTCCCTTGTCATCACACCAGCCTGTCCCCATGCTTGTGTCCCTGTGCCACCCCACCTCTGTGCCACCCTGTGCCCAAGACACCCAAGTGCCACCTTGTCCCTGTGCCAGTCGGCTCCTGGGTGACCCTGTCCCTGTGACACCCCATCCCTCTGGTGTCCAGTCCCCATGGATTCTGTGCCATCCTGGTGCCACCTTGTCCCAGTGTGATCCCATCCCATGTGCTGCCCCATCCCAGTGCCCTCCAGTCCCCATGTCACCCTGTCTCTGTGCCACCTCATCCCATCCTGGTGTCACCCTGTCCCTGTGCTGTGCCATCTCAGTGCCCTCTAGTGCCCATGTCACTTTGATGCCACCCCATCCCAGTGTGCCCTTGCCCTTGCACTGCTCATCCCATTGTCCTCCAAGGGGTGAAATGCCAATCCCTGTGTCCCCATGTCACCCCATCCCAGTGCCACTCCACCCCAGTGCCACCATGTCCCAAAATCACCCCGTTCTTGTGCTGGAACACAAGTGCCCTCCAGCCCCCGTGTCACCCTGTTATCACCCTGTCCCCATCTCGCCCCGTCTTGGTGCCACCCCATCCCGGTGCCACCCTGTCCCCTTGCCACCCCATCCCAGTGCCCTCCGGTGCCCGCGTCTTCCCATCGCAGTGCCACCCCTCCCGTCCCCGTGTCCCCGTGTGCCGGTGGGGACCTGTCGTGGTGCCGGCGGCTCTCGGGGGAGCTGTGAGTGGAGCTGGAGCCCTCGGGGGCGGCGGGGCCGTCCCTGTGAGAGGGAGGTGGCAGTCAGGTGACCGCGGGAGGGGACACCGCGGGGGGACACTGCGAGGGGACACCGCTCACCTGCCGGCCGGCGCCTCCTGGATGCTCTCGATGCCGATGGCGCTGGATCGGCGGGAGCCGAGCGGGCCGGGCCGCCGCCGGGACGGGCTCTTCCCGGGCACCAGCAGCGCCTGTGGGGTGTCGTTAAAGGGGGGGACACCGGGGACGGGACGGGGTGGGGGGACACGGAGAGGGACACACCGCGGGCACCCACCTCTTCCACCGAGCCCAGCCCGATAGCGCTGCCGCGGCGTCCCCGGCGGCTCCCCGGCACCAGCAGCGACTGCGGGCGGCACCGCGTCACCCACCGACCGGGGGGCACCGGGGGGCAGTGGGGACACGGGGGACACGGGAGGACAGCGCGGGGGGCAATGGGGACCCGGTGGGGGGTAATGGGCACCAGGGGGACACCGACGAAGCATCGGGCACTGAGGGACACTGGGGG